ACATAACCCCAAACAAAACAACTTTAAAAATATTGGACCAAAACCCCCAAAATTCCCCCACCCGCCATGGTGGGCGGGGGAATTCTGGGAGTTGAAGTCCACATATCTTAAAGTTGCTAAGGTTGAGAAACACTGGCTTAGAGTTTTAATTGGCGCTTTTTATTATTAACTTGCAGATGGGTTTGTACAAGGCGCTTCCCTTGGTCTTTGAATGAACTCGTTTTGTGGGTTTGCAAAATAGACGGAACCATAAAGGAGCAAAATGGGTCAGCTTTATACGACACACTAAGCCCTACAGGCACAAACACGCATAGTAAACAGGCTCAAAATCAGCTAAGCCGAGATGCTATCTGAATGCATCCAGAGGTCTTTTCCTGAGCGGGTTAAATATTACGACTGTTCAGGACTTTGGATCGGGAGGCCCAGATCAGATTTAGAGCTTGTAGGGTCTTGAACATGGCCACTGCTGACCCCAAGCACACCTTTTTCCCAAGATGCTTCAGCTGCGTGCCTCAAAACACCTTTGGGCATCACATCGAAGCCCTGCACGGCCCTATTAAGCTGGTCGTGGGAACGCTGCAGCAATGGATTTTAATAAATGCCATGGAAACCCAAGTATACAGCTGGGGCTTTTTAGCAGAGAAGGATGAAGATGACTAAACAGCTATTAAGATCAAGGGTGAGGCAGAGAAACTCTGCAGCGAAGGGGGCAGAAAGAATTTGTTTGACATTAACAAGAACCTTCATCTTATTAACTGCTGACAGTTATAGGTGGCAGATTTAAGAGCACCAGACGTGCCCCCCCTCTATAGAAAAGGCATCCGGACTTTACGATGCCAAGTGGCAACAGGATATTGTAGACAGCAAGGTCATCTATGGCTTTTCGAAATCATGGGATGGACATGAGGAGTGGGAACGCCAATGGGGGCTTTGTTCTCCTTGCTTTGAGATGGGTTGGGCAACCGCAGGCTTGGAGGCAGGGAGCATGAAGTCCCCCCACAACGTTTTCCTCTTTGTGCATTTCTTTAAGCCTCCTTCTGTGCGTTCCAAAATTCATGTCTAAAATTTCTGGTGGCATGAATAAAGCAGTCGGATTTCCTGCCTTATAGAGGTGAGAAATATGCAAATATTGGAGCTAATCAGCAATGGAGACTTCTCAGAGTTAAAAAAGGAGGAGAAGTAGCTCTCTGGAATCCAGAAGGGAAGGGAAGGGAAGGGAAGGGAGAGGAGAGGAGAGGAGAGGAGAGGAGAGGAGAGGAGAGGAGAAGAGAAGAGAAGAGAAGAGAAGAGAAGAGAAG